GGGGTCAAAGAGCTGTAAGGCTGAGGAACAAACTAGCTTCCTCCTAAGACCCTCCTCATTCAACTGAGAGCATTCTTGAACAAAGAAGGTTTCACAGTAATTTACATGTTCTTTCTTAGGCCTGATCACCCCGGGAAATCCGCACTTCCCAGTACCGAGCTGTACTTCCCCGTCATTGTTTCAGGCTTAGGTGGACCGCGGGAACTAAGGCCACCGAGAGATAAGGAGATTTTCTTCCGGACGCTGAGAACTCAGACTTTGTCAAAGCCGAGGAGTGAGGGTCCATCACCCCCCTTTTGCTGCAGCCCCCCCCCCAAGTCCTTCTTTTGGGGGGGGCCTCCCAAAAGTGATCGTGCCTGGCTTGGGTTGTTCCCCCTGTGGGGAATCTTACCCGTCTTTGGCTAACCGACCAAGCTTTTTGGGGGTTCAGCAGCAGAAACAGCATTACTGCCAGGAAGATAAGCTTTTGTCTCCTTGCCGGCTCACGGTTCCAAGGGCGTTCCCTTAGCCTTAGCTAGGCGGGGGTTTCAGTTTCTGATACCAGTCAGGGCGGTTCCCAACACAAACTGGCAACCTTTCCGTTCACGGGCCGCTGCTCAGCCCACTGAGCCTCACCAGCCAGGGCAGGTAGCCATTTCTCAGAGGAAACCTCTTGTCCACCAGCTTGCTTTAAATGCTTTCTAATCAGGTCTGTGTCCTCTCCTCCCCTACTTTAGTTTTAGAACACAGACTGTCTTCTCTAAAAACATATGCTTACAATTTGCAACTTATATAAAGTTAGCTACTGAAATAACTTGCCCACAGAAATGCATAATAGAATTGTATCTAGTGAGCCCCTGGCTAATGATATGGATTGATGTGTCCTTGTCCCTTTCACTACTACGTTTTCATCTTTTTTTTTTCTATTTTACTTCTTTCCTCTTTTTCAATGTGGGGTACAATTTTGCCCTCAGACTCCGGTCTAGTCACAATCTCTGAGAGCCTGACGCACAGCGGGCGCTCAGAAAAGAAATGATGACACAAAGAGTGATATCTGACATCTCACGGGCCAGCTCTGTGACTGAGCCCTCACCTGCAGGGTGAGTGTCCCTCCTGGGCCACTCAGGGGGGGGTCACTGGCATCGGGGCACCCTGAGATCGGGCTCACGGGGCTCGATCTCAGAGCCCCCATGAGGAGACTCCAGGTTCACAGTAGATGCTCAATAAATGTTTACAGTGTGATTAACATCCGAGCCCAACTCAGGCAGCTGTATGGAAAAAGCCCATTCCCAGAAAAACAACAATATTTCTGGTGACAATTACCAGGCATAGGAAGCATGGGGTGGAGGCTGCAGGGCTGTGAGCTAGAAAGGTTAACATTCAGGAGTCGAGAGGGCTGCAGGCTTCGCACAGTTCGTTCCATGAACCTTCTTGCCCAGGGAGCAGGCCCTGCAGAGCAACGGGACTCGGTGACAGTGGACTTGCTCGCCTTGTTCTTAACTGGGCTAGTCATAGTGTGAGTCCTTTTCAACCAGTTTCTAGCACAGCAACCATAGTGCAGCGGACAGAGAATCATTCAAGAGCCTTAGAGGAACGGCAAGTTAGAAAGGACTTCTTTGGCTCCGTGTCTCTGTTGATGCCACTTTCCAAAGCAGTGATCACTGTTGTCACAAGCAGCCCGGGCCTGGCCAGGTCCGCCCCCTGTACCCAGGCCACAGCGAGCAGCTGCAGGCAGGAGGATTCCCTCAGCACAGTGATGACGTTCAGCTAAGCCACAGTTTCCTTGACTTAGGAGGAAACCCGTGTGGTTTGGGGTTGAGGGGGCGTGGATAAGCAAAGTGCGGATATTTTCTCATTGTCCCGTGGCTTTAAATTGCAACCTCTCTTTTAATTTTCCATTATGCATCAAACACGTCTGTGCCAGCAGTGGGCAAATGTATTCCATCTGGGAGGACGATCCAGACAGCTATAAATTAGAGTCTGTGTACAGAGATGCCAGAAATGTGGCCAAGCAGTAGGGTGTCCCTGGGACCAGTCACCTCCTCCACAGTCTGCTCGGTGGCTGCGAGCCTTGGCCTGACGCCTCTGTCAACAGAGTTCACTTTGCATTTGGAAACTGTCTTTCCATCAAGTTGCCACAGAGACGGGAGGGCAGGGGCACCTCCGAGGCGCTACTGGGCACACCCGCCCCAGGCAGGCTCCTCCACTCCCAGGACGGTGCTTTCCCAGGGGCACCAATGTTTTTCCTGCACCTGAAACAGCAATAACCTTGAAGCTGGCTTCCTTCTAAATGCAGGCATGACCCGAGAAAACTCTCCCCACTTTGTCTTGATAGAACAAACTACTATATCATGCTCTTTTTTTTTAATCCTTAACTGTGGACATCTTTTCATTGCTTTTAGAGAGGAGGGGAGGAAGAGAGAAAGGGAGAGAAAGGTCAATGCGAGAGAGAAGCATTGATTGGTTGCCTCCCATGTTCTCCCAGACTGGCCGTATGTACCCAGACTGGAGATGGAATTGAAAGCTAGGCAAGTGCCCAGCTGGGAATTGAATCCTAAGACCTTCAGTTACAGGATAATGCTCCAACCAACTAAGCCACACTGGCCAGGGCCCATATCATGCTTTTAAAAAAAAATTTTTTTTAAACTCATAAAAGTAATGTATGCTTATTGCAAAAAACTTAGAAAATATAGTGAAAAGAAAAAGTCACATGTAATCCCACCCTTCGAAGATATTGTTAATGTTTTAGCATGATTTCTTTCAACGTTTTTCCATGCCATGCTACCCTTTTTAAAAATGCAAAAATCTCTTCAAGCTGGTTGAGCCCAGTTCCTTCCACTGTCCCTCTCACATTATCCAATTAGTGCTCTCCTCTGAGTACTGGAAACATTTAGTTATTCCACATTGGAGACTCCAGCTGGTAGAACTCTGTCCCTCTGGCTCCTCCTGGCTGAAGTCATGCCAAGCTTCTGAAGGGCCTGACCACAGAGGGACTCCACCTGATGGGGACAGAGGGTGAAGGGCAAAGCCCTTACATAACGTCAGCCAGGGAACCCCAAAGGGGAGCGCCAGGTTTTACAAACAGCCCCACAGATAGAAGGGCGCTGGTACAGGGCGCTGTACCAAGGGCTACCCCTGACTTCAGTGTTACTTTTCCTACTCAACATCTATGTCGAGGACCATGTCCTTCTGTCTTCCTTGTGGGGCAGGGGCAGTGTCTACTCTGGGCACCTGGCAATAAGCCAGGGTATCCCAACACTGACTGGAGGGGTGTGCAGAACCAGCGTGGGGGCTATTTTTACATCTTTGCTTCCCGTCCCCTGGCGCCTTGAGTCCAGAAGGTGCCCAGGGAACGGCAGCAGATTGACTGATGGGACAGAAGTCGAGATTGGTGTTTGGGGACAGAGAGGACGCTGAGGCTGATAGCCTGCTGGCTGGCAGTTGCGACAGTCCTGCGGTGGCAGAAAAGGACTCCCAGCTCTGGTGCGCAGCCTCACGGAGCCCTCGCAGTGGCCGAGGGGAAGCGGGCAAGGCTCCGCCTCTGCCAGCCTGCCCAGCTGCTGCCCGCGCCAGCCACTCAGCCTCACCGTGAGTCGCACGGCACACAGACCATACTTCTTCAGAAAATTATTTTTTCCTTTCTCACTTTCCATGGAAACTCAACATAGCAACCAAAGAAAAAAAATGGTCAAGTGCCCTCCCTGCCTGCAAAACCATCCCCGGGCAGCGCAGTGACCGGGGAGGCCCAAGGGGAGGGGAGGGAGGCTTCCAGATGCCTCTAAAACAGCTTTCTCACCAGGCACTGCCCGGCACACTCATGAGGTGTCGGCAGGTCTGAGGTCAGTGCGTTTGCTCCCAGGTTAGAGAGGCGGGTTCCCCCCAGGTCTTGGAGTTCATCTTGCTCTCGGTGACCCAGCATCTGAAACGCAGCCCCCTCTCATTGTGGTGTTGGTCAGGAGGTCCACACTGCCCTGCCAGGGACAGGAAGGCAGGATGCAGATGCCTTCCAGGGGGGGCTGTTATTGGAAAGTTCTGTTTTTCTTTTTGAAGTATTTTTTGTTGATTATGCTATTTCAGTTTTCCCGAATCTTTCCCTTTATCCCCCCTCTGCCCTGCACCCCCCAACCCTCCAGCATCCCCCCCTTAGTTCATGTCCATGGGTTGTACATATAAGTTCTTTGAGTCCTCTGTTTCCTGTACCATTTTTATCTCTCCTGTCTATTTTATGCCTACTAATTATGCTTCTTCTTCCCTGTACCTTCCCCCCAACCATTCCTCCTTTCCCCCTCCCCACTGAACTCCCTCTGTGTGATCTCCATTTCTCTGATTCTGTTCCTGTTCTGGTTGTTTGCTTAGTTTTTGTTTTCATTGTTTTTCTTTTCTTTTAGGTTCATTTGTTGATAGTTGTGAGTCTGTTGTCATTTTACTGTTCATATTTTTTATCTTCTTTTTCTTAGATAAGTCCCTTTAACGTTTCCTGTAATAATGGCTTGGTGATGATGAACTCCTTTAACTTGACCTTATCTGGGAAGCACTTTATCTGTCCTTCCATTCTAAATGAAAGCTTTGCTGAATAAAGTCATCTTGGATGTAGGTCCTTGCCTTTCATGATGCAAGGAGAAAGGAGAGAGTTACCTACAAAGCGGTGTCCATTAGGATATCAGCTGATTTCTGAAAAGAAACCTTGCAGGCAACAAACGGCTGGAAAGAAGTATTTGAAGTCATGGAAAGTTCTTTTTGAGGCGCATTCCAGCCTGCACAGAGCTGTGTATGCCCCGTAGTCCAGGGCAGCTGGCCAAGGGGGGAGGGGGGGACCGCTGTGCTTGGAGTCAGGAACTCCGGTTCTAATATCATGTCAGGGACCTGGGGGCTCTGAGCGCTTCATGTCACCTCCACCCCCACCCCAATGAAATGGGAAGGCCGTGACCTTCCAGCCCCAGCGTGCTGGGCCACCATCCACTCCTGGGCTGCACACACGCCCCCCTTCCATCCTTCGTAAAGCTCTGGCGTTCACTTTTCAGCTGGCGGGGTCGGCTGTCATCGCTTTTGGACTATGGTTTCGGTTCGGTGGCACCATGAAGGATTTCTCCTCGGAGGACAAGTCCCCAGAGTACTTCTACATGGGTGAGTGACGTTAGCTTCCCTAAGTTTTCGCTTGTTGGGGTGCCCTGGAGGCTTAGGACAGACCTGTCCCTGGACTGCTGGGGAGGGGCCAGAGGGAAAGGAAGTGGGAGAAGCCTGAGACTCTGAAGAACCCCCCTTCTCCTGCAGTGGGGGGATGGGGTCCAGGTCGGGGAGGGCCCTGCCTCCCTCCCCTGCCCGCCCTCACACAGTTCGCCCCTCTGCTCTCCACAATCAAGGAAGACCAGTGCAGTAGACTGGCCCGTGGTACTTCTTTCAGCCACTTCAAGAAAAGAAGTCCAGCATGTGACTGTAATTCATTTCCAAAGAACTAGAAACTCCATTTTGCCCCCCGCCCCAGTGAAGAGGTTGTGCCCCAGTCGGCTACTCACGCTTCCATCTGGGGTGCCTGGGGCCCTGCAGACTCTGAGAGAAACACAATTCAAAATGAGGAGACATCTCAGGGTTTGGAGGTGCTCACCTCAGTCCCTCCGTGACCAGGGACTGCAGAGAGCTGGGGAGGGAGGGCAAAGGGAGGGCAGGGGTGCCTGGGAAAGAGGCCTGGGGGGAGGGGCAACAGCCCGCCTCCCTCCAGCTGCAGTACGGGGTGAGGGGTGTCGGGGTGAGGGGTGTCGGGGTGAGGGGTGTCAGGGTGAGCAGTGTCGGGGAGGGTGCAGCCTCCCATTCTGAGACAACGTGATAAGTCGGGGCTGAGCATTTCCCCCGGGTTCAGAGCCCTCTCTCCACCTGCTTCCAGTTCCCTTCTGTGGCTTTTTCTCATTCTATAGTTACGTGCCCCTGGACTCTAGATTTAAAAATGCCCAAGACTGTGGTCCGTACAGGGGATGGCCCTGTGTGACCAGTTGCTTTTAGATCCACGCAACCATAGAGTATACACTTCAGTTGCTTGTGGTGACCTCTGTGCTTGGGCTGAAGCAGGGTCCTGCGGAGATCACTTGCTCTGACCCCAAGGACAGCAGAGCTATTTCCCGGGAGGGACCAGTGTCCAGGCCCCACTGACAGCCAAGGACATCCTCTCAAGGGCCACTGCCAGCCGTGTTACTCCCTCTTCCCAATACCTTCCCACCCCATCCCCTCCTGCAACAGAAAGCCCACTAAAAGATGGGTAACAATAAGGAATCCCACGTTTCATCAAATCTTAGATGCAGTCTTTTGTCAACACCCAATTATTTTAAGTTCCACCAAGGAAAAAAGAAATGCTGTCGCTTTAGCTAACGTATCATAAAATATGCATCCTAATTTCAGAAACATTGAAATGTAAAATTGATGAGATGTGGTCAGGGGAGTGTGGAGACGGGGAGTCTCCGGATGTGGCTCAGGGTTCAACACAGGCGCCAAGGACCCAGGTGTTTTTCAGGTTTCTACTCACCACCCACGGGACAACCTCAAACGCGCCCCCTCAGGATTACAAAATAGCTGCTGTGGTTCCAAGCATCGTGCCCTCATACAGCAGCATCCAAAGGGGAAAAATGGAAGTTTCACCTCATGTGGCCCTTTTTAGGAATGAATAAAATCTTTGTCTGGAGTCCCCAGCAGACTTCCCCTTGCAGCTTGCTGGCCGTGGTTGCACTGGGTGTTCATAACTTAGCCGTCGTGGCCAAGAGCAGAATTACTATGACTGCCTCTCTGACTAATCGGGAGTCACCCTGGGCCTGGAAAGGGGCCCAGGCTCCCAAGACAAAAGTGTCTCTTACACTTAGACAAAATCGGGGTTTTGTTACAAGAAAGAAGCAGAGGAATTTGCCATCCTACTTAACCCTGAAATGCTCTTTCTTTCCACCAGTTTCCAGGTGGCACCCACCCTTCCGTCCAAAATCTCACATGCATATTCAGCATATTCTTCCTTCCTTGAGGAACTGCTGGCTATGAGAACCTCCTCAGAATCACTCCCCTCACCCAGAGCAGATCCCGAGCACCCCCAGGAACAAGCTCACCCGTCCTCAGCCGGCCTCACCCCCAGGATCCTTCCAGCTCTCCCCAGGGACACGCAGGAGCAGTCTGGGGCGGGTGGAAGGAATGAACCTTCCCTCCTTCTGCTGAAATTCCAGGACCTGCTTGTTTCATCACTTTTCCTGTGATTTCTAATTCCATTTCAGCGTAGTCACACTCCTTGCCCACTGGATGGACCACAGCAAAGTTTAATCCAGTTTAATCCAGTTTTCTGGGGACTCATGCCTCTCCAGATGTATAGGGCATATACCACGATCAGTAGCAGATAAGAATCTCCAGCCTGTGTTAAGTGCCTGCGAGTGGCACAGACACGACCACTGAATCACGCGTGCGAGGGAGCACTGCGGACTGGCGGGCAAGCCTCGGGCGGAGGGGCGCTGGAGCGGGGCCTGGGAGGACAGAGCCGGTCCAGGGAGCCTGAGTCAGGGAGAGCCCGGCTCAGGACTCCGAGTCAGCACGGCAGGGCACCGGTACGCAGCTCCCGTCCTCTCCGTGGTCTGGGGCAGGTCTGGCTGACTGTTCAGGATGCTCTTGTGGGGGAGTCTTCTTAACCTGGCTCCTCCCAGCCATTCATAGCTGCTGCTTGGAGTGAACATCATTCTCTCCCCACTATGACTTCAGTTACTTGATGTGTTGACTCGAGGTCCGTCCCAATGAAACTGCAGCTGCCCTTTGCTCCTAAAACTCAGGCCTGTCGGCGCTGAGGGTGTCTGTCTGCTCCTTGAGTGCTGTGTACCTCCTAGTCCTTAGGGGTGACTCCCAAGACGTTCCACTCAAAGCTGCATTTTGCCCTCAGGTACATGGGGAGGAATCCACCTCAGTTAGAACCAAAACTCGGGAAACATCCACCCGTTCGGTTACCGTCAGACATTCTCCTCCGGGTGCTGGCATAGCCAAGTGCCTGACACCAGCCACCACACCACCGAGCTTGAGGTTGAAAGACCTGAATCTCTGTAACGTGATTTCTGAGCTTGAACTGAAAATGCTCAGCCACAGGCAAGAAAACCCGTTTTAAAAGACCGTGAAACCCTGGGCTATGTGAAAAACGCAAGAGGCTGTCTCCCTTTCTGCGGTAATGAATGCATGGCTGTCTGAAAAATCTCTCCACGGTTATTTTAATTTTTGGATTTCGGTTATGCATTCAAGCAGGGGTGCCTCTATTCTTTCCAATTTTTTTTGTAGGCGCCTCTGTTTGGGAAGGAAATAGAACCTGCCCATGGGTACATCAGTCGGCATCTGCAGTCCTGGGCTCCGTTGTCTCACATAAGTGTATGAGAACCCTGGACTTGCCCCATGTCACCTGCCATCTCTTTGAAGGGACTCACAGATGTAACTATTTAAATCATACTAGAAACTACTGTGTGACCAAATGCCAAGGAAGCGGCATTTGCAGTGGGAATTCGGCACTGGTGAGGCCAGGAGGAGCCGAGCTGGGTGTGAAAGCCCGGGCTGCGGTCAGTGGAGAGGACGAAGAGTGAGGACTGCAGAGGTTGTAGGGCAAGATGACACACGGCGTGTCTGCGGGACAGTGGCTAGCCGCCCAGGCTGGGCAGGGCACCTTCCATGGCGTGTAAAGGGCTGGGGCATGGTGGGAGGTAAGACTACAGATGTTGGGAGAAAGGGAGGACAAACATGCGGGGCTTTGAATGTTCGGGTTAGTTAATTTGCTAAGGAGTGGAAGACTAATTTAAGGTTTGGGGGAGATAAGATCTCACTGCAATTTTAAAGAGATTATGCTGGCAGCAGCGGAATGAGAGGGGAGTCACAGGGCGGAAAAGAACAATCTAGTTTGGGTAGACGAGAGTAAAGGGTGGGGAATAAATGCCCGAGAGAGGGCGCATGTGAAGAGGGTGGGGAGGGGAGCCCCTAAGCCAGCCCAGGAAGCGGCCTCTGTCCACTCTGCTGCAGCAACAACACACTGAAAATACAACCTCAGGTGGAGATTCAGGTCCAGCCCAAGAAAACCTTTCTAACGACTTGATAAATCAGAGAAGCTGAGCACACCTCCACAGGTGAAAGTGAACTCTCCTCTTCAACGGGACTTAATATACCCCTAATGGGGTGAAATTGGAAGGGGGAGTGTGTCCATTCAGGAGGGTCCTGTACTGAGCGGGGGTCAACCGGCTCCAGACAAACATTCTGACCCTACTTTCTAGCCTAAAGCAAGGTGAACTGCTCTCGGTGCAAGAAACATCGTATCTTTACGGACATGTCTTTAGGACTCTTCTCGTCGCAGATCACGGACACTTGACTCAAGCCACCTTGAGCAAAACAGAAATTTCTTGACTCACGTAACTGAAAAGTCCAGGACTAGTCTCGGGGACGCAAGGGACACCATTGGATCCAGTCCGTTGCCATCTCTGAGCTCTGCTTTCCCGTGGCTCCGTTCTGGGCAGGCTTCCTCTGCACTCGGTGAAACGGCTGCCCGCCACTCAGGGTGGGCAGCACCTCCCGAGCCACTCTGGCAACAGAAGTCCAACCCAAGTCCTGAGCCGCCCGCCTCTCATTGGCAACCTTGGGTCCTGTGCTCGTTCCCAAGCCAGTCATTGCGGCCAGCGGGTCGGGGTGGGCTCGCTGGCTAAAGCCTCGGCCTCACCCCTGCCGGGAACTGGGGCCATTCGGCCACTCCCACCACAGGGACAGAGTGTCACCGGGGTTCCTTCCTCTGATGGAGAGGAAGAGGAAGAAGAAGTGAACTCTGGGTGGGAAAACGACAGTCCACACTGCAGGCCTGCGTCCCTCTCGCTTGTGTTTGGTGGCCTGGGGCAGGATGTGGGTTTGCTCACCCTCAGTTCTCCCTTGTCAGCCACACCACCCCTCTGCAAGGCAGCCCTTGAGCGGCTGGTGGTGAAGGCACCTGTGGTCCGTGCTCCAAGTTCAGGGCGGTGGGTCAGCAGAGAACCTTAGCACTAGGCAGAAATAACGAGACTAGGGGCCAGACAGGCAAGCCACAGGGGGCTGGCAGTCAGCCGGGGATCCCCAGCTCTTCGTGGTGACTGCGGACGCCCAGGCCTGTGCTTGTCCCATGAAAT